TCCCAATCCAACGGCGGATTTCAGATTTGTCACAGTTTAGTTTCAGAAAGTTGTTTTGCATCCATGTTTTGATGTCCGTGAGGCAGTTGGTGTGTTGGGAGTGGGTGGTTGCAGAAATGTAGGAATGGGTGTCGTTGGCGTAAAAGTGGAACCGGAGTTGGCTGACGGAGTCCAAGTGGGACGATGTAAATGATGAAAAGCAGGGGACCAAGTACAGAGCCCTGGGGGACGCCATGAGTGACATTCAGTGACTAATGGCGCTTTTCCACTGCAGGACCTAGCACGGCTTAGCACAGCTTAGTTTGGCCTTGGTAGGCCAGGCTCACTTTAAGCTGCGTTTCCATTACAGTTTAGTAACTGGGGTAGTTACTATAGTAACGCAGTGTAGGCGGGGCATTCGGCTGTTCGGCGGGCGGAGCTACGCTGCGTAAAACTGCTGTGACGTCATCTTCAATGCAAACCACAAAACCAAAACATCCGCCGTTAGCTGTTAGCACTCAGAGCTCACAGCTCCTCATATCTGTTCAGAAACGAGACAAAAGTTAAACAAGTGCAAACCACAGACTGTCTGTGTCATGGCGGATACAGTCGCTGGTTTATTTATGTCTGTAGGCCGTTGTTGTGAGTGTGGGCGGTCGGAGCATATATAACGTTAGCTTTGCCTAATCGATCCGATCTCTATTCAGAAAACACGCATTTTAAAAGGTTTTTCGCCTGCCGTCTTTTCTTTAGACTTGTCAAAGCATTAATTCATGGTTTTTACTAACCGGTATCAGTATGTTGTTATTTCGGCATCATTTTGAAACGTGTATTACAATTAAATCACGGTAAAATATGTTCATTTTGTTGTAGTGGTAGCCCCCTTGCCAGCGATTCTCTCTGACCATTCAGCAGTAGAGAGTGTTTACATCACTAGTTTAGCATATTCAGCTTGTTGGCCCGGTAAGAACCTCAATTTTGGAGGGCCAGAAAAAAGGTGAAAAAGTAGCCCTGAGCTGGAACCACCCCTAGTGGAAAAGCAAAAAAATGTGCTGCGGTGGAAAAGCGCCATAAATGAGTTTAGGTTAGACATCAGCAACAACATAAACTCAAAATACCAAACTAAAAACACTGCAGAATTGCCTTTTGTGAACTATACCACTGGATTCAAAGGCTCAAGATACAAAGGTTTTAATGATATATGCACATAAGCTACAATGTAGAAATGGCAATGAAAATCTTATGACCTGAGCTCCTCCAACAATGCAACATAGTCATATAATAAAATACAAAAATACAAATAAAAAGAGTGCAATAAGTCTATATACACGTAAATAGAATATGATATACAAGAACAGAATGTAAAATTAAATATTGTACAGTAAGATGACAAACAGATGAAGGTTTGTCGAGACTGCTTAAGCACTCAGGCGTTTAGCAGTCTTGTTGCCTGTGGGGAAAAAAACATTATAGCAGGTCATATTGTATTACCCTTAATGGGCAAGTACTTTGAATATTTAGGAACATTTATTAATGCTATTTTCTTATCCTTCATTTTCTAATTCATTTCAATCGAAGCATAACAACTTCAAAGTGACACAAAGAGACCACAAATAGACTTTGAGCAATAATAAAAAGGGGCAAAATCAAAAAAACTACAAAGACACAAACGTATTACAAAAAGACAAATAATTACCACGGATAAAAAGCTATAAAGACCAAAGCAATTTCAAAGTGACCTAAAAAGACCTCGAAGAGATGCATCGTTTATCAGAAACGACACCAAAAGACTAGAGAATTCAAATTAACATAAAAAGGGTCAAAACAACCACAAAGACACAAAGGAAAAACAAGATAAAGAGTTTGACGATAAACAACATGACTATACAAAGTAACAAAGGCCTTCAGGGGTGATTTTGCAAAATGCAAAAACCGTCTTAAGTGACACAGGAAAATGCATAAAGCGGAGATAGAGAGATACAACTCAGCAATTTCTATTATTACACGGAGATCTTGATCTATTTAATAACTGTTCGTCATGTACCAGGCGGGGTAATACATTAAATACAAAAAAGATTATAGCTTAATCGTTCTGTTACAACACGGTCATTCGAGGTTGTTGTTAATTCCCTATATTTAAAAATCTTTATGTTTGAATATTATCAAAGCATAGTGTTTAACAGAAGTCATCTCAGGTCAGTTGTATTGCCCTCATAAAAAAGTGCAATAAAACAGTGGATGCTAACCTGCATATGTTGGGCAATTTGCACAATTAGCATACATTGCGTTAGAATTCATTACCATTATTTGGACAACATTTTTTTCTTGTTTTGAGGATGCTGAGTCCATTTCTGACATTTTCAGGATAATGAATGGCAGTCTTAACCAGAAAATTCCAACATTTGTACTCTCTGTGGGCTGATTTGTATACATTTTTGGTCGATTTGGACGATTTAGGGGACTTTTGAATGGACAGATTGCTTATTTATTTGAAAAAGATTGTCCTGAGTAGAGGTAATACTTTTCATTTTGTTCCCTCTATATCCAATGGTTGCAACACAACTCATCGTAGTCGAAATCAGCCCACAGAGAAAACAGATATTGCCGCTTTCTTGTAACATTTTAAGGCCTTCAGGGGTGATTTTGCAAAATGCCAAACAGTCTTCTGTGACACAGCAAAATGCATGCAGCAGAGAGAGATACAAATACTGTAAATATATGAGTATGTGTATTGTACAGACATATTACTTGATTATATAATATATTACACCCATGTTACGGTCATGTAGAGCTCGGTTTATAACTCGAACCCTGGTTAAAACTGATCCTGAAAATGTCTGAAATGGATTCAGCATCCTCAATAACCCCCAAAACGTTCTCAGCTGTCTACATAGGATATAATGCTGAATAATTCTAACCACACAACTTCTGCTAATAGTGCAAATTGCCCAACATATGCAAGTGAGAATCCAGGCCATGAAAAGTGATCTGTCATCAGCGTCTGAACGATGAGGAAGTGATTGAGTGTGAACCTAATGATGCTGCAAAAACTTCATGACACAACAAATCCACTTCTCTGCCAACTGGACCAAAGGTCGGCCATATTGTTATTTAGGATCTTCTGGCAGTGAAGCAGCAGAGAGATGGCAAAAACACATACAGATACTCGTGTTTAAAAATACTCTGGTGAAAGTAGAAGTACTGACTAAACTTCTTTACTCAAGTCAAAGTAAAGAGGCTTTGAAATGTACTTCAGTAAAAAGTACCCATAACTAGCAGCTGTTTTAAAGAGTACCTGACCTCCCTTTATATTAATAGAACAATAATGTCATTGTTAGCTAATGAATGTTTCCATGCTGAACAACGGCAACATGACAACGTTTCCATTGGTCCCTCTTCTTTAGAGAAGACCAGGAAATGATGGATACACGGATCGTGTTCAAATCAATAGGCACGCAATGACTCTAAATAATAATGATCACGCCACCAAACACACATTCANGCCCGTTCTTCCTTATACACTCAGAAGTGGTCTCCCGGGCCTTCCATACTCACCACGACTCCAGCCTAGTCACTTGTGATATGCAGCGATATCTCGTGCGTGTTTTTCGCCGCTCGTGGTCCCCGCGATGTCACCTTACAAGAATGACGTTGGTGTGTTTGTGGTGTTTGTGTGTCATGTGGGCACCTGAACAATGTTACTTCCGAGTATTAGTCGACGTGCCGTATATCCATCCCCATTTCACGATAAAAAATCCACCCGCCTCCGCCTGAGTGGAGGAATTCCCAGGCCCACACACACATACAAAGGGACACACTACTAAAAAAAATTTATAAATTCAATTTTCGTAGTTAGACCCACGTGAAACTCTCGTTGTAACTGGAGCAGATAGGGAATAAAGACGACCTCTGGGTGGTGAAGACAAGAGCCTGGTAACAAGTTTATAGCACAATCGTACACACGATGAGGAGGCAGCGAGGTGCCTCTGGCTTTGTTAAAAACCTCCTTAAGGTCATGGTAACACTGAGGGACCTTGGAAATGTAAGGGAAATCAGGATCTGAAATGTCTTAAATTACAGGAACAGCTGGAGTGGCAGCCAGGGAACATTTGGATGGAAAACAGGTACTTAAACATCCCTTACACCAAGCAATAATCTTACCAGTGGACCAGTCTATGTGGGGGTTATGTAGGGTAAGCCAGGGGTACCCCAAAATGATTGGGTGTTCGGAGGACCGAAAAACATGAAAGACGAGAAGCTCAGTATGACCGTTCTGGAAACTTAGCTGAAGAGGTTGGATGTGGTGAGTTACCCTACAGAGAAGACGGCCATCAGAGGCACTTGCTTCCATTGTTCTTGGAAGGGGGAAGGTGTCAAGGTTCAGCTTCTTAGCCAACTCAAAGTCTATAAAACTGGCATCTGAGCCAGAATCCACCAAAACAGGATGCCTGAGTTGGCCAGTTCGTACTATTGTTGTGGCGATTTAGCACTCACAACAGGAAAGAATGAGAGAGGAATCACTAAAACACAAACACAGACATAGCTGATCAATAATTATTATTTAGTTGTTGCAACAAACAAACAATTGAGGAAGGAGCGTTGATTCCTGTCGTTAAGACCACATGAAGGGACTGTGAGCTCCTGGGTGCAGAACTGTGTCTACATAGGAACAAGACACACAAATGTAAGGGTTAACTCTGAGTCATTTTGTGTCCCTATGTAATCATGAAGCATCAATTGTGTGTGTATGTAGTCATTTTGGGTATATTTGTGTTAATTTTCTGTCTCCTTGTCGTTTTGAGTCTCTTTTTTGGTGCTTTAGATGTGGTCGTTTTGTGCTTATTTTATGTGGTTTGTTAATTGTGCAACTCTGTAAATGTATAACATGTATTTTTAGAGGTTGTGTGTCTCTGTTATATTTTGTATTGTAATTTTTGCAACTTAAGTAGTTAGGCTTTTTTTTTATTTTACATATCCTTTTAGTTGTTTTGCATGTATTTTGAGATGTATAACCTTCCTTAGTGCTAATTTTTCTGGTGTTTTGCATGTCTTTGCAGTCATTATGGGTCATTTTGAGACAACTCATTTCAGTTTTCTTTCTTACACTAAAGAAAAAGTAAAGCACACAGAGCTAATACAGATGCTTTCAATGACTGTATAACAAATGCTAATGTGTTTCTTCAGATGAAGGTAGGTAGGGGTGCAGCAGACGCCATTCGGAGCGTGCACGGGAAGGACTACACCGTAGGAACCTCACCGGATGTGTTGTGTAAGTCCACACATCACAGCTGGTCACAGATTTATTTGACTTTGTTGCCGTGCTAGCAGAAAAACAGCAGTGTACCCTCTTTCTACAGACGCCAACTCTGGTTCCTCCCAAGACTGGGCCCGGATGCAGGGGATCCCCTTAACCTACACCTTTGAGTTGAGAGATGGCGGGACGTTTGGCTTCGAGCTTCCCCAGGATCAGATCCAGCCGACCTGCGAGGAGGCCTACAGCGGAGCCCTGCACATCATCACCTACGCCCACGACAAGACCTTTAGTGGGGCCACTGCAACCACCGCTGCAACCCTGTGGAGCATACTGTTAGCCTTGGGTGTCACCAGCACCACCCTGATGTGAGGGGGGGAAATAACTCTTGCTGTTTTGCTTTAAGTTTCATTTATCTTGCGTACGTTAGGTTAGTTTCAAGGGGAGCTCCAGTTTTTAAGACAAAATGTTTTTTATCCTTATTTAAGCTATACATTTTTGTAGATTAATTATGATCAAAAGTATGTAAATGCATCATACATACCAATGCACCTTTGATTCTATTTATTATACATAAATACACCTATAATTAATCATAGACTTCAATACAAATCTTATTTTAGGCAATGCCTGACACATTAGTATATCCACAAATCTTTTTTATTTAATTGAATATGACGACGTCGAAATATACTGTAAATAACATCTGGCGCCAAAAAGCAATACAAAATAATAAAAACTTTGAAACGTGTCTTGTGTTCAAAACATTTCAAGTCCTTGTGCCACTCTAAATTGTGTTTTATGTTTTAGAAACTACATGTTATCCATCCACCGTTGTAAACCAAGAGATTGACTTTTGAAGAGGTATTTTTGCTTTGGAAGTTTCCCAAGGCAAACGTTTAAAGCTGAGTTTCAATGCTGGATGTTATTATGTTCCTGAACGGCTGGAAGCCTTGTTGTCTCAGGTTGGCTAACGGCAAGAAAAGCAGCTCCTCTGGAGGAAACTGGTCCCATGGAGTCCAGGTCCAACCTGTCAGGCAGAGATCGAAGCATATGTCGGGTAAGTAGGAAACTTTTTCATCTAAATCTTGTAAAAACATCAGTTCGGCTTCACATACTCTCATTTTTCTCTGGCTCCAGGTTCTCTGGCTCTCCTGACTGCTTCCTGTCCAGTTCTCCTTGCATGATGATGGTGACGTAGTGGTACTGCTCCTCCAGTTTGATGGAGTTCACCACAGAGGCATAGCAGACGTTCACCAAACACACCCCTGCTTCCTCCAACACCTCTCTGTGAGCACACTCCTCCCACGTCTCTCTTTCAATGACATAGACATGAGTGTCACATCCAATTAAAGTCATCATATGCATGATAAACAGTTATTATACTGACGACTGCATCCACTTGCAGGACCTTTTTTGACATGACTGACTGTCTAAATAAGGTTCTTAAAAACACACTCCTGAACACCAAGGTGCATTTAAAATATTACACATTTGTATTTGTGCACACCTATTTGGCATGCAAGTATAATAATGCACATTTAAAACATGTTTTCATATATGCTGAACACTTTGGGATAATTCGGCTCAATACAAACTTGCAAAGACGTTTTTATTTCATTGTAATGGGGGTTATTTGTTGTGTGTGGAGCTTGCTAACTAGCTGCTTATGTTACCTACCCAAACTCCAAGTGGCCGCCGGGGAGCTGGTACTTCCCTTGGCCCATTGCACTTCTCCGTTTCCCCAGGAGAACACAGCCGGGGTGCGCTGAGTCTGTTACAAGAATTCCGACCCCAACTCCTGGACGTTTCATAGTTTTATCAGACATCTGGGCAACCTTAAATACGACTCACGTATATTAAAAAAGCTAGCTAAAAAGTTAGCTAAACCAGAGCAAGAGGGTTCCCGTCTGTGTACTTCCGTTTTGGCTTTAAACATCGTTTGAAAGATATTTCTTCGGTACATTAGCTTTTTGTTGAGTCAGTGTCAATATGATTATGTAATACGTAGCTGACAATATGTCTTCCAAAATGTACTATTTACTTAGTTATTTTTAGTATGCTGGTATTTAGGTGTATATGGAGAACTACATTCGGCCATATTGACTCATAACCTAACAAATAAATAAGAGAGATATTCAGAAATAAAAGCCTCAATTATTAAATGCATGTGTAGGTACATTTTTGTATTTATTAGTATTCATATTTAATTATTTTTCATGGTTAATGTATTTATGTTTACATTTATTTCCCTAATAATTCATTTCCCTAATTATTTATTTGATTCACTTATTTATTTATTTATTTATTCATTAACTAATTTATTTTCTCCGGATTTCCTTTTTACATAATGGAGGACTGTGATCGCCATCTGGTGGTGATTTGTTTTTTCTCTTTTTGATAACGACTTGTGCAGATACGTTTATACAGTTTCTCTCTCTATTGCCTGCAGACAATCTTGAGAGAAATGTAATATTTTAGTTTATTGACTACATTTTGCATTTGTACTATTCACAGAAGTGTTTATATGTTTTCCTTTGACTGGTCACTTCAGTGCGGGTCTTAAATGTCACGTCTCTGTTGCCATAATAAGGCCTCACGCTCATGGCTTTGACGTTTTTCAGAGAAAATGTCAACGACGTCACAACTGAGACATGAACCAGAGGATCACACTTGTTAAAGTGTTTCTCCTCATGTAGATTATATTGTGCAGAAATGATAATACAACTGTACTTCAAAACAACTGAATGATCCCTTCAAATGGATAATTTGTCTGAATAAATGACCTTATATTTAAGGAGATGTGGGTCTTTCTTTCACACCCTGTTTTTATTTAGAAATGATACATGTTAACCTCCACCAGTGCAGAGAAATGGTTTATGATGGCATTTCATTATGTATAATAAGTTTGCTTGTTCTACTTTTTTGCTGTTATTGGTTATTTTTAGCATGAATGCAAATATCCAATGATCAAGAGGATACTTTTCAGTGTTTATAAGCCTTTTATACATTGGAATGAATTGAAATGTTTGTACATTTGGCTCAACACTGTCTAAACTCCGTAGAGGCCAGGCTGTCTAGAATCAGTCTTGACGTTCCGGTTGAACGTTTACAGAAAGCATGGCTTACTTTCTCTGTTTACCTTCTGCGGTTTCAACATTATGCAACCTTTAGAATCAGACTTCAGAGTGGAACTTTCCCAGCGCTTGCCGCCCCCCCTTACAGGTGCATTTGATGTGTTTATGAATAGCCATGATGCTAACATGTTGGAAGTGAGGCGTGTCTCAACTCTTTGAATGCTTTCATGTTTAACAAGAGAATCTGTTGCCCGAAGGCAGGCACACTAAACATATACAGTGGTTTCTGATGCATGAGATCCATAAGGGGATTATATAAACGTCAAGTAAAGCTGGTCCTATATGAGGAGATTATTCTACTTCATCTTCATGTCAAGACTTGTTGCATGTTTCTTATCCTTTCACCCTAAAGGATATATGAATACAGAAGGCTTAAAAGCTTCTTTAATGCAATAGGCTGTATTTGTTAAGGGACATTTGTTTATAACTCATGTGTAGAAAAAATAAGAAGGAAGTAATTGTTTTTTTTTAATGCTGAAGGAAATCCTTGTCACAAAAATTTCGAAAAAATTACAATGAATAGAAAAACAATTGAGTATTACATATAAAGTGTATAAAAAGTAGATGTTGTATGACACATTTAGTTTAAAAGTTAACTGAAAAAAAGCTTACAAAAGTGAATACATTATTGAAGAAAATTGCCATTAAAAGTGATAATCCACATAGTATTGAGAAGTTATATTGCACATTTTGTTGAACATCTGAATGTTCGTTATGTTTTAAAGTCTGTGGGATTCACCAGTAGCTAGCAAATAAACAAGGGAAATATTGTTGCTTAAAACAGCTTCAAAGATATTATTCATAACGGTTTAGTTTATATATAGTAGCACTTCCCAAACAGTGGGGTCCAAGAAAAATAAATCAACACAACCCAGAGGCCAGTGCTGCCTTCATCGCTGTGTAAATATTGTAAAACGGACATTCTGATCATGGACTTTTAGGACAACTCATACATCATTTCGAAAATGCCCACTTTATAATAGTAAGACGGTTTGGATAAAGAGGATGGGTTAAAATTAGATTAGATATGTTTTTTTAGGAAAACGACACTATATACTAGCTCTACTTGAATACCTGTGTAGGCTATGTACATTTCGTTTTAACAGTGGAGCGTGAACGTTGCAAAGGTCTAAAGAAATGGGCAGACAAGAGCATGCGCAGTCGCAGTGTTTGCATTCCTCCTCCCTCCTCTGAGACTGACAGCCCGTTAGCTGCTCACCGGCAATGATACAGCAAACACGGACTCAGTGAGACACACCGAGATGGACTTAGCGTGCACTTTTTACCACTACAAATACGGATACTATTTAGACACTCTTGTCTAATGACAACATAAGGAGTTCATTCTTCGCTAGGATATTTTTTGCTTCGTAATAAAAGGAGACTCAACGTCCAGGGGAGGAATTTGTGCGACGTCTGATTTCCTGCGACATACACCGGGCAGCTAAGAAGCTTTCACATTCACTGTGAAGTAAAGCTAAACTATTCTGAGCTACACTTATTTATGTGTGCTTTTCTGTGACACTAACTACAGCAGAATAGTCCTGATAAGTATTGAGGAGAAACCAAGTTATGGAAGAGCGTGGCTAATCGCTACTGGCGACCCAACATAGCTCCAAGCTAACCAGCGGCTAGCTGCATTTAACATTCTTTGTTTATTTAATTTGCTGTGTTTTTATCCTACTGAAGTTGGATTAATACGTTATTTAGTAAGTGTATTGCCGCTTAAGCTAGTATTTCAGTGTAACTACATCCTTGAACATCTAGCTCGATCTTTAAAGGACATAAATCATCTGACTTCTCACTTATGGCTCGTTAGTATCGCGGTACTGCAGCTGACCCAGCTAGCTAGCATCTGCTTTAGCTAGCAGGTAGCACCAACAGCCGTCAGCCAGCCTTTAGTCGCTCATTGACGGTAAAGATGCACCACCAGGACTTCTCTGCAGACTCGCCTGGGACCGCGAGCAGGAAGGCGGGTTTCCACTACAGGAGGGGTAGCAGCGGTGCGCCTGGCTCCCCCGCAGCCGGTAGCAGTGGCTCCAACACGGTCGACGACAATCCCCCCCAGGCTGGATCCAATTCTCCCGGACTCCACCACCAGCCCCAGTCCCAAGCATCCGGAGCTCAGGTAAAGAAGAAGAGTGGCTTCCAGATCACAAGTGTCACCTCAGCGCAGATCAACGTGAGCGGCAACAACAGTTTGGCAGATGACACAGAGAGCTATGATGACATGGATGAGTCACACACTGAAGACCTCTCCTCCTCTGATATGCTGGATGTTTCCGTGTCCAGGGCCACGGATACAGGTGTCCCGGAGAGAAGCTCTTCTGATGACACACTCAACAGTCTCCATGGGGTTGACACACCTGGAATCGTGTCACCCAACGAGCCTCTTCACCCTCATTCTGTCCCTCAGGGGTCTCAGCAGCACACCTCGATGGTAAATGGTACCATGCACCATCATTTTTACCCTCAGCAGCCCAACCATCAGCAATCTGACAGCTTGGAAGGAAATGAGCCCCCATTACCAGGCCTTCCCATTGCTCCCTTGGCTAGCTCCAGCCCTGCTATGGCTTCCAGAGTTGGGCCCAACCAGACGCAGAGGCCACCCATGTTGGATAACAGTAAACTTGCAGGTGGGACGACTCAGCCCGCAGCCCCTATTGTTGCTGGGACAGCCGCTGATCCGCATCTGCAAGGCAGTGTGAGCATTTCGAATGTGTCAGCTGGCACTGCTGCTGCAGTACCTGCGTCTGGGCCTGCAGGTTATGACAACACTAATATGAATGGGCAAGCAGCTTCTGCTGGAGCCCCATCTGCTGCCCCCAACACTCAAACCCAGCACACCCAAACTCAAACGGCCACCGGCTCTCGTTTTAGGGTGGTCAAACTAGACACTAACTCTGAGCCATTCCGCAAAGGAAGATGGATGTGTACAGAGTATTATGAAAAGGAAGTCCATCCTGTAGCTGCTGCCGAGGCATCAAAAGGTGTAGAGGTTGCTGGAGAGACTGACGCAGGTAATGCCGGGATAAATCAGGGTGTACCTGCTGTACAGCCGCCTCACACTCTTCAACCCTATCAGACCCCGAGCCAGGACTTCACCAGTCCACAAGCGGTGCAGAGCCCGCCCCAGGCCCAAACCACTCATCTGACCTATGTTTCACCCCAGGAGGTTGTTGCTGGGTCCCACATGCAGCAAGCTCCTGTCACTCTCCCTGCAGCAACACCACAGGCTGGTGTAAATCAGCCGCCCTCTGTGACACCCCAGCAGCTTCCCTACACTGTGGATCCCCACCAGGCTCCACCCCAGGGAGGTTACCCTGCACCCCAGTTCCATGCTCCAGGAAGTGTGCGTCAGCCAGACTTTATCCAGCCCACTGCACCCTTCCAGACCCAGGTCCAGCCTCTTCCACCACACGGTGCAGCGGGAATCTCCAGCAACCCACTTCCACAGCCCCCGATCAATATATTCCAGCAGCTGTCCCATCATGGTCAGGTAGCCCCACCTACCCAGGCACCTTATGCAGGACAGCCACACACCCTCCCCACTCACCTGACACAGCCCCCTACTGCTACAATCCCAGCAGCACCCAGCCACAGGACCCACTACATGCCTTTGACTGCCCTGCAAGCTGACCTGCAGCCTCTCCTCACCCTGGGAGCCACCCTCACCCAGGGCCCCGGAGGAGGGGGCTCGTTTAGAACATCGCAGCTGGAGGACGCCCAGAGGATCCTGCTCCAGCACCAAGGCCTGCTGGGTTTGCCCCGGTTCGGGATGACAGCAGGTGGAGACGGGGCTGCAGAGG